AACTCCATCTAAAAGACCACAGTGCTACTTTCATGTTGCAACTACATAGTTTTTATGTAATTTTCCATTCTCCATGTACATTTCCAATTTGAGCAAAGAAAGTGCTTTTGCCTAACTGGAATAGGAACTTAAACCCTGAGTTTGTTTTGGTATGTGATGGTAGGAGCATATAAACGTTTAAAAAATGACATATTTAAACCATGTTGACTTGAATAACTTCAATCACAATGAAGTAAAGTGTATTACTATATCACAAAGCAAAAAGCTTTTGAATGTATTTATAGCAACATATATAAATATATTGCATATATCTACCATATAAATTTTGGAGCGAAAAAACAGTAACATTGAAGGATATACCAGAAAACTATTTTTAAAGAATTAGTTTATTTAACTTCATTTATTTATTTATTTATTTATTTATTTATTTAATTTGTTCAGAAAAGGACAGAGTGGTGGGGGGGAGTGAGAAAACCAAGCCACCAGGTCTGGGACTTGAACCTCAGTCAGCCATATGGGAGTCTGGCACACTTAACCACCATGCCACTCACTGTCCCAACAGAAAACTATTCACAAGACTATATTTTGCCTCAAAGGAGCAGTTAATTGATTTCAAAATGATACATGGATGTGTTGCTCCCTATATTCGCTTAACATTTGTTGCCTAAAGAGTTTCATCCAAACAATCTCACTATTTACTTCAGGTTGATTTTAATTGCAATGTCTTGATTTCAAGGCCTCCTGCTTGCTCATGGCAACATTCTTTAGAAAGTGCTGTTAATTTTTACTATGGTTCACGGCATTATCCCATAAAACAAACAGGCTCAATTTTTATTAATAGTAAGAATATTCAGCTCTTTTAACTACTTAGTATAATAGTGATTTTTATTGTTTCTACTAGCAACTGCAAGAATTTTCAGTCCCATTCAATAACAGCCCATGTTTTAGAGTGTATTTCTTTCTAGTCTAGAAGAACATGCTAGACCTAAATGCTAAGTCATTTTATGATTTCCACTTTCCTGTTTTCACTCAAGGTACTTGATGATGCACCAATTTACTCTGTCACTATATAAGTTAACATTATTTTCATAACTCATCTTCATGGTGCTCAGCTTTCCCTTTGAAAACTCCCATTAGCAATTCTTCTTGTTAGGAAATGAGTAGGCAGAAGTGTCAGCTATCTGAGGGTGGATGTGTTTAGCTGAGTTGGAATTTTCCTCAATTTCTAATTTAAGAGCTATACTTTGAGAAGATATCATTATACATAAACATAAGGTTTAATAAAATTTCCAAGTTGGTCATTCTGCATTTCAGATATAAAGGGACAATAAAGTTATAAATAATTTTTAGCTTTTATCAATATTAATTAATAATTTATGGAGAGTGACTAGTTATAATAAGGGTTTATACTTAGTGAATAAATATTCTGTGGAACATATTATTCTGGGTACTTTATACACATATCATTTTCATTTCCATTTTATTTATTTTAAAAGAATTACTTATTTAATTTTATTTATTTTTAATTTGACCAGGGAGACACAGAAAAAGAGGGGAAAAGTGAAAAAGCAAGCTGCTAGGTCTGGGACTAGAACCAGTCAGTCATGTCAGAGTTCAGCAACTTAGCCACTATGTCACCAGTCAGCCCCTTTATTTCCATTTTAAAGAAAAGAAAGCAGAGACAAGGAGAGAATAAAGACACCTTCACAAGATTCATTAAATCTTAAGCCAAAGGAACTGAAATTCAAACCCAAACTTTCTTAGTTTAGCATCTAATCTTGAAATCTACTGAACTTAAAATCTTGAGCCACTTTTCTGAATCATTAGAACCCAAAGTGAGATATCAATATGAGGATGAGTGATACAACTCTGCATATGAAATGAATTACTGCTTGTTGAATGAATGCCTAAAGAAATGAAGAGATAATTGAATGCGTTTATTAAAAAGCCAATTTTCAATGGCATACAACATTTTCCCAGGAAAAATATGTGATATTTTAAAGAGATTTCCCATGGTGGTAGAGTATTTTATTTTGGAATCTCTTGAAAAATATACATATTTCATTTTATCATTCACTGTGAGAGTAAAAACAATCGGGTTTCATGGACTCAGATGAACTTTCTACTATAAGGGTCACTTCACTATGAATGACACCATCAGGCATCTGTTAGAGTATTGAATTCTCTTTTTCAAAGTGAAAATAATATATAGGACATTGTTTAATAGAAATATATATATATATGGAACTGCTTACAACATATACATTTTTTCATTTTATATCTAGAAATGCTTTCTTTACTGAAAATTGTGTAGAAGAGGCTTCAAACTGCTACATACTTCTGTATATGATTGATTATTTAGTATGTAGGGCAGTTCAGTTGATTTTCCTCAAAGTAACCATTACTGTTCATACCAACAAATCTGTCTACTGCTAACAAACACCATCTATATTCAGCTTTCTAAAATAATTTTGTAGCAAATATTTAAACTCTTTCTCCTATTCATTATTATTCAATTGACAATGAGGATAGCCAAGACAGGTGAAATTATCAATGCTTTGATTTCCTGTATCAATGTACATATCTTATAGAGTCTTATGATACCTTTTCTCAGAAAGCAGAACAGAAAGATCATCTCAGGAATCTCATGTGTGTGTATGTGTGTGTGTGTGTGTGTGTGTGTGTTTGTATGCCTGTGCACACATATGCAGATGCAGGATTTTGGACTTAAAAAATCACCAGGGGAAAAATGTGTTAATTGTTTAGACCATTTGTGATATTATTCACAGCTCCTTTGCTAGAAGAACTTTCTCCTGGTCATCTAGACTTTGATTTATTTTATCTATAAATAGAAAAAGAAATGGACTAAATAATCTTTTAAAATTCTCAAGAGAGGTTTGATAAAATGTTCATTGATTTGAACTAAACCACATTGTGAAGAAATGAGGACCATTAGACAGTCTCCAGACAATCATTATTATACAGTTGCAAGACTGTTAGTGGCAATGTATAAAAAGACCAAATGATATTAAGATATTTGTTTTGGACTTTTGCTTCTTGCCAATTTGAAGTAAAAGGGGTCAAATTTAACATCCTGTATGAAAATCTTACAATAACACAGATAAGCAACATAGGAAATAATGATTTTGAAGACATTGGACATTGAAAGAAAGTGTTCACTGAGATATTGGAAACAAATGTGGTAAGCCCTGCAATTGCTCCAGCTTTTCCTGTCTAGAGACAGTTCCTGACTAAGATGAAAGAAGAGGAAATGCTCACAAAGCCAGGACACCTGGTTGAGTCGATGAAGCTAAATATGAGGCCACAGTGGATAGAGATCAAAAGACAGAATACCAGAGAAGAGAGACATGTGGAGAGAGAGAGCGCGCGAGAGAGTGAGCAAGCTTTGGATATCTACAGAGAGTTCCCTTACAGCTGAGTCATGATCAGTTCATATACGAGGGGATTTCAAAAAGTTCATGGAATGGGGCCAGCATGGTGGCTAAGGCACTGGACTCCCACATGGCCAAATGCAGTTCAAGTCCCAGAACTCATAGTTTGGTTTCTCACTCTCCTTTCCTCTATCTCTATCTGTCAAATTTAATAATAATAATAAATAAATAAAATTAAAGAGATAATTTTTTAGAAAGTTCATGAAAGAACTGGAATTAAGGTATGAATTTATTTTGATACAAAAAAATGAAAACCATGCAGTTTCACACAATACTAATTTTCCATGAGCTTTTTAAAATCTGACTTCATGTATTTCTCCAAGAACACCTTATATGACTCTAACATATTTACATTGCTTAGGCAGAGACCTTGGCAGGCTGTCGTAACACAAAATTCAATTTAGTGTAATTAAAACATGTATCTTTTGTATGATAACAGATTAAAAAGCCATGAACTTCCTGTCTCTAAATACCAGCACTGGTATGTACAACTTAGATAGATATACATATAATTACACATGTGTTTTAAAGTATTCATTTTCTGGATGTACATTGTTTGTCACAAACACAGGCATTTAAATGCTTAATTCCTAATATCAAAAAGTACATTTGCTCTGCAAAAATATTTGAGAATGGAGAACTGTAAGTTGAATATCATATTGCTTTTATGAAATCCAGCATTTTGAAATATCTAAACTATTTAATAAACCACCATTTTCTTTCTTTGCCTTCATCCGTTTTACTCAGTACTTTCTGGCATTAAAAACTGGCCACAATTCAAATCCACTTGGTTGGAAATTGCAACATGCACAATTTGAGCTAAAAAAGCTGTAAAAATACTTAAGCCTTGCCTTAATAAACACAGTACATCTTATACCTAACCTATATTTTATCAACAAAGTGATGTCCTCTGCAATCCAATTTATCTTTATCTCAATATTCAAAAGACACAACAAGTTGAAACTAAACTATTCACTGGTTATAATCCATATGTTCATCCCTATTAACATAAGCCATAAAGGAGGCACTAAGTATCACCCATTAACTCTGCATCGTTTTGGCCTCTGGACTATCTTACAAGGCATTTTGCCAATAAAATATATAGAAATAATGCTATATCACCACAAACCATCTTTAGGGAAGGAGAATACAATTTTATCATGACAGATACATCTAGCAAACACATCATTGTTAAGCATATCACAAGTACTCCTTCTAAACGGGTTCCATCATCAGCCAAAGATACACACTGACCCGAAGCCACAGGACACTTTGCTGCAAGATGCTTCCCTGCATCACAGATGCAATTCACTTTGCAGTTCATCACAGAAACCTGTTCTTCCTAGGCTCTCTCATCCTGAGACAAAAACTTCATAGCAATCTTCTAACATGATCATCATAATTTTCTAATATGTATGGTGATAACAACACACATGAGGTATTAGGGATTTTCATCATCCTTCACAACTCCAACCTAAAAATGTTACGCAGTCATGATACTGCAGTGATGGCAGAGATAACTTGGAAAAAGAAGTCTCGAAAACTTACCTTAAGATACCATTTGTATTTAGCGTGTTCCCAGCTCTCAGGAGTTTGTGTCTTTTTGAGAAACTGTTCAGCTTCTGTTAGCCATTGGTTAAAAATCTTCATATCATAATGAAAACGCCTCCATTTTTCAACAGATCTGTCAAATTGTCTGAAGGCGAAAATATGGATAAAAAATAAGTGAATTATATAAAACAAATTATATCGACAGAACGTATATTTTTTGGCTTAAATTGTCAAAGATACTCTTGATAGTTTCTTGCATTTGTAGATTTGGATTTTAATTAACAGATAATAATTTTGGCTAGCAAGATGATTTAAAGAATAATTTTTTCCTTTAAAATAAAATATATTCATTGTTTGAAACAAAAATAAAGACAACTATGTTGAAGTATTACATTTTCTTTCTTGTAGTCATATTTAATTTTTCAAATTCCAGCAATTTAAAGATGCATTTACATTGTACTAGATGGTTTGAAAGCTATATATTCAATTTCAAGATATTGCTTGGATCTAACTCAAATAATTTCATAAAGTCTATCACTTTTGGTATTACTCTTGAGCCAAAATTGTCTGTAATTTTTTAATTGTCAGAGAGCACATGTACTCACCAGAGAGAGAGAGAGAGAGAAAGAGAGAGAGGGAGAGAAGGAGAGAGAGAGAGGGAGAGAGGGAGAAGGAGAGAGGAGGGAGGAGAAAGTATCATTTTGCAATCCCTTCTCCTCTACTGTGTCATCCTATTAGATTTCGAGCACAGAGAGGGAGAGAGGGAGAGAGGGAGAGAGGGAGAGAGGAGGGAGGAGAAAGTATCATTTTGCAATCCCTTCTCCTCTACTGTGTCATCCTATTAGATTTCAAGCACACATGTGTCTAGAACGTTTTTTCAAGATCCAGAGGCTGGAATTCAAACTGCAATTGGCCATGTGGACTCTAACTCCTTTAACCTACCTGTGGGTTGGTCCAGTCTGTTCATTAATATAGAGCATTCAGGATGACAGATGTAATTTATACTGTAGGCTCAGATGTAAGTGATTAACCAACTAACTGCTATGCTAATAAAAACTAGCTAATGGGTGTTATCTTCCTTTAGTTTCCCTTTTCTGTATCCACTAACATTTTAAATTGAAATGCTGAAGAAACTTAGTACAAGGCAATGGGCTAATATCTCACATAAAGTAAATATTAAGAAGCAGGTATTTGGTCATTCTCCAGTCATAAAAGAGACTGAGTTAGAAATGATACAAGTCATGACTTTATGTTTACTTTAAGACAGTTGCACATAAGAATCACCTGTACATACACAATCTATGTGTACTTCACATTCTTTCAGACATTAAAAAATCAGTTATGCTGCGAGAACAGTAACAAAACTCTGATCCTGGGGCTCCACTGCAGACCAATTAAATCAGTATCTTTGACAGTGAAACTCTGACACTGGTATTTTCAAGAGCACCCAGGTGATTCTAATGTACAGTCAGGTGAAAAACATTGCTATAAAGTAAGACTTGAAATCTTATGGAGCTTTTGATTTACTACATCTCCCAGGGCCTGTCCAAACAAGAATCAGCTATCACTAAACCATAAGCCATCCTTAAGAGTCCTGGCTGTGGGGCTTCCTCAGAGCATAGTAGTCTGCCAAGTTTCTTTGAATCCTATTCTTAAGAAGCAGTGGATTGTACTTTTTAATACTATGACACCTTCTCAGACTTCTGCCTTTATTTAGGCATTTTAAATAACTTTAGAACCTAATGTCATGTATGTCTACTGATTTACTGAGAAGGGGATGACATTTACATTTATTGGACAGTTACCATAAACTAAGCTTTGGGCTCTATGTATATATAGTACCATGAATATAACATTTTATTACATCTACAGTTATTATTCCTATTTTCCACAGGAGAAAACTGAGAGGCCAAGGAACTTGCCAAAAGTTAAAAAAAAAAAAAAAAGGTATTAAAGAACAGAGAGGGGGTTTTAACTCAGCTATCTCTGGTTTCAAGAGCACATTTCTAATAACTCACATGCTCTTTTATGGGGAATTCCTTTTCTAGACCAAATTCCATTTACCAGTTAAAAAACTGAAAACAATAATTGTGCATTTTAAAAATGTTTCTACTTATTATCTTTAAGATTTAATTAGTTATCTACCTAATTAATTACATTGCATTTTTTCAGACATTGCATTTAATGAATAACTATGTGTTTAACATTAAAAATATCTCAGTATTTTGGTAGCATAAGAAAGGCAACAATGATAGTCACTCGCATCACTGGTGTGAAAAAGTTGCAGGTGAATGAGAATCTAACAAAACATAAGCATAGTTAGCATTGTTTCAACTTGGTGAGACTGTGGTTGATTTTAATTTTCATTATATATTTTTCTTTGGCCATTTTTCTACAATGTGTTTTTCATGTTTTAAGAGTCAAAAATAATTTTTAAAATAATTGTACATGGCAGTCTTGCGTGTTAATGACTGCTATCTCCAACCTCGGTCCTGCTATCATTGTCTGAGAAACAGTGACCTAGAGCACAGAGGAGCTACCAGTTGGTCACAACTGACCACTCCACCTTTACAGCAGTCATCAGTCCCCTTCTTAGATAGCTTTTCTATCCCCTTTCTAAACATCTAAATTATCCTCTTAACAGTTTCAATCACTTGGAAATGATCGTCTTTCTGACATAGGTGCTAGAAATACTCTCTTTGTTTCAGGTTGCTGTAGACCCCAAAGGTTTCCAATCTCAGACCTATTGGGCAGATTTGTCCCTCCAGTGCTCACTACACTGGCAACAAACATTCTCCACCAGAGTTCCCGGAACCCTGTTCCCACACCTACACTTCTTCCTGTCCATGGATATCTTCCCTTTACATTACCCCAAGAGAAGATAACCATACAAGTCTATACACATGATCACGGTAGCCCTAGCTTTGTAAGACAGAATTAGAGGTAGGAAGAAAAAGGAATAGGCTGAGTTTCTGGACTCTCCATGGTTCCAGGACCACAAAAGTGAGACAGGAGACTTTCCAGTCACACAGGACTGCTTGCAGTTCCCCCAACCCCTGCTAATGCCTCAGGACTTGTGAATTTGCACATTGATAGCACATTCCTGAAATGTCCTCTTTCCTTTTGGCTCCCTTCTCTCCATCTCCTGCATCCCAAAACTTTGCATTCTTAAAGATTTTATATAAATTGAATACACTTCATTTTATAAAGTATTCAAAATAGCATGCGACCGCTAAAACTTTGAAAACTGTAAAGTTGATTTAATTTTATTATTAAAATTACTGCTAAAATGAATAACTCTATTCAAATAAAATATTAAAAAATAAAAGCATGTGCTTTACATGTGATAGCATTTAATGTGAGTAATAATACTTTAAACTCCATTTCAAGCAGCACATAAAATTTTAACAGATACTTTTCAGCACTTAATATGAGTTGTTAACAACAGAGTCTAAATCTATCCTGGAGTTTACTATGTAAAATTGCATTTTTTATCATCACTACTTGTAAACTTAAACTCCTTCCTCCTAAGAAAAATTCTGAGTGAAAAAATATATATATACACACGCACATATATATTAGTGGTTTTACAATGTTAGATTTATAAATTTAATTTCTATTCAATCACTGTGCTTCTTCAATTCCTCTCACTCCATTAATTGCACTGCCCATGAGTGAAAAAAAAAGTAGGCAGCAACAACTAGAAACACATACAGACATTTAAAAAAGCATTCATGGAAAGAAATATTTTACCTTCTATGTTATTTCTGGAGAAAAAAATGTTGTGTGTGTGTATGAGTGCGTGTTTCCTGGCAGTAAGAAGAAATGTAGACTGAACTAAATAAAGGACAAAAAAATGTCAGTATAAACATGTGGATAATAAATCAAGTGATTTTAAAATTTTGCAAATATTAAAATTCTCATTCACTATGCAAGCGGTATTTAAAATTACACAGCTGCTTAATTTATGTGCAGCATAACTTATTTCCTGCTGTTCTAAATCAAGTTAGTCAGATTATTCTCTAACATAAATTACATTTAGGGAGTAATTTAGGTACTTTGAGACATACTTTAACACTTTCAGGCCATTAAGGTGGTGCTCAATTCCATGAAATAGATTTAAATAAATAACACGCTAGTAGCCTTTTGACATATCCATTGTGGCTTTATACTAAGGTCTGCAAATTCAGCATTGGGTTGCTGATTATTTTTCCCCTACATATTTCATCTTGGATTAAGTGAGTGGGTGACTTGGCTGAAGTCTTACGGTCCAAACTATAGGTGCCAATAAATAAAAGTTAAATTGGTTATCTGGCCCAAACCATAGTACCTTGCGGCTCCCTTCTTCCTCCAACTTTCCACTTCTGAAGTAATTAAACTATTTAGTAAGATCTAAGTGTACTCATAATCAGGAAGTTTTATTCTACAGGACCTAACTTGGTCTGAAGAGCTCTCCCATGGCTACAACTCTCCTTATTCTTTTATGTCTCATTCTAATGACACCATCCCTGCCTCTATAGGCTAAACTAGGATGCTCATGCTTATATATCAAGCCCACAACTACACATCTAGAATTTGACTCCACTCCAGCTGTGTGATGGTCTCACTGCCACCACCGGACGCAGGCTTGTATCTGACCCCATCACTGCACCTTGTCAGGCAGGTAGAGCAGTGGTCAGACTATCTGGGATAGAATCTGGCTCTGTCACTTACTGTGTAGCCTAGGGTAAACAAGTGTTCTCTCTAAAAAGCAATTATAGGGACTGGCAGGTGGAGTGTTGGTTAAGGGCTCTGGACTCCTACGTGGTGACTGCAGTTCGAGTCTCGGACCTGGAAGCTTGCTTTCTCACTTTCCCTCTCTGTCTATCTCTCTCGCTCTGACTCTCTCTGGTCAAATTTAAATAAATAAATAGTTAATTTTTTTTTTTTTAAAAAAGCAGTCATAAAAGCAGCACCTATCTGCTAAGGTTAATTGTGAGCCAACGTTGAGTGAATAATGATGTATGTAAATTTCTTAGAATAGTGTCTGACGGTGTTCAACAAACATAAGTAATATTAGCTTTTGTTACTAGTCTGCCTCTATTTGACTTAAACCTTTCAAAGCAAACCAAATCATCAACAGGTTCTGGTGGGGATCAGGTGCAT